AGTGTTTCGAACCTGACGTACTGCATCCCAAGGGTGCTCCTTCGCGAAGCCCAGATCCGACTGTGCCTTTTTTGGTCGTACATGTATTGCGTACACATGCTCATGACTCATGCCTGCACTTCATGCGATGGGAGGGATCAAGTGGCTGCTTGTTCTAGTGCTAGGGCCGCTTAAGGCCTGCATGAACTATGAAGCGGTATGCTTGCCAGATGTACTGCCGACATGTTTGGGGCTAGGTGGCAGGGACTCTGCTTACAAGATGGCTTCTTCGTGTCTTTCCTGGATTCTTGCCCCCAGGGCTGAAGCTGCGGATCCCGCGCTTGCCGGCCTCTACCCGTACCTCTCGAAAGCTGCACCATACCTGACCTGTGGCCTGATGCTTTCATCGATGGGTGCTGGGTGCCCCCAAACCCTAAACCCTAAGCCCTCGAAAACCATCTTGGTTGCCAGGACCAAGAGAGGGAGCAGTCGGAGGACGGGCTTGGGTTTGGGATCTGAGAGTTTTCGATTGTGATGATGATTACTTTTATCAATATTTCTACTTCTAACATGATGATTCGCATTTTGATTCTGATGGTTTTGTTGGGATCATTACTATGAGTATTATTAGAACTAGCATTTTTACTATCATGACTGTTATGAACTAGTTATCCAAAGACAAGGTCGTGGGTTGAGGCCATGAGTGGCACTTTAGATACGTGTGATGGCTTTGAGCCAGGAGCCATAATATTTCGGGGTTTCGTAGAATCTATGGATGACCAGTTCTGGCTGTTGTCAGTTCTTCCAGAAGCAGCCCAACCATGCAAGCGAAAGAGGGGAACAAGGAAGCAAGTTCAAATGCAGACATCCTGGGATTCCTTCACGGCCAAGAATTGGAGGGTCGGGATCCAAACCCCACAGCCCCAGATGGATCCCTAAACCACAAACCACCTCCAGGAGTTCAGCTCGCTCTTGGAGGGCGTGGCGTTGTCTCGAAGTTAGCTTTCAGGGCCCTCTCTGGTATTATTTGAACCGTGCTTTCGAGCTCTGATGATGGCTTTGGGTTCAGGCTCGATGCAGCCAAGCACCTTAACTCCAGAAGCCAAGTCAGAGCTGTTCATATCTGAAAAGCTGCTTAACTTCAGGGACGCTGGGGCTTCGGCCTCCATGAACTGCGAACTTTCCAAGCATGGCATACTACCTTTTATAGTACATTCTGGTATATCAGTATATCATATCCTGTTATATCATATTATATTATATTTTACTTTATCAGACCATATATACATTGTACTCAGAGTCTTCGAGCCCAAGGGCGAAGGAGGCCGAGGCCTCGAGTCGTACCCTTGAGGCCACATGAAGTATGTGCAACGGTTTTTGTTCATTGGCAGCGGCCTCCAAACGACGTTCGCCTACCGTGTCGGACTTTTGAGATGTTGCAAGACAGAAACAGTTGAAGGTATCCTGGCACAATGTCTCGGCGCCACGTATACTTGAGTACTTTCGCATCGCCTCGCCTCACTCCACGCCGTGGCTGTAGTTGTGGAACATCAGCAAAACGTGCGGCTGACAAGAGATGTATGATTGCCTTCATCCGCTGGCTAGAGGTGCAGGAGTTCTGCGACAAGGCGCCATCCGCGGCCCGGGGCCCACACAGATGGATTTGCGACTTCATGTGCTTTGAGCTCGAAGTTTCATCGACTCCGGGTTGCAAGCTCCGAAGCGAAAGCTTCCAGATGCCAGAAGCACGGCATCCAAAGCAGCTCCCGACACCCCTGCCCAGGTGTTTTTACTTGGAATCATGCTCGTGGCCATCGTCGGGATCCCAGCCGTCGTCTCTGGGTGCCCTGACCTTGAAGGAGTCCGCGCGCGACCTGCCGAATCTCCAATTTCAAGCCTTTCTGGTCTGGGGTTCCAATAGTGAGTGGATGGAGTAGCCGGCACCGGACCCCACAGCCCGAACAAACAAGCAAGTAGCCTGGCTGAACCAACAGAAGGTTGACAGAGATGCCCAGAAATTCTCTCTCTGCCGGACACGGTCCAAAGCCTAGCAGTGACTTGCAGCCAAGAGCAAAAGTCGCAACCGCGATTTGCCCCGAGGCCGTCCTTTCACTGTGCATTTGGCTTGCTTGGTCCGCCAGCGTCTCAATCTTCGCGCTGGCACGGAGGTGTCGAGATTGCAGGGCTACCTTCCAATCGCGTATATCTTGTGATGCGGGAGCTTCCCGCCTAGCCCACCTTTTTAGTGTCTCTTACAGAAGGTCCACCTGTCTTGCAGTCCTGTAATAATCCCAAAGCTGACTGTTTTCTTTTTTTTTTCTGAGGCCTACTCCGCTGACATAGCGGCCTTCTACAAGGAAGCCGCATCTGCGGGCGGAGGCAGGATTTGGTTCTTCCAGGCCTAAAAAAAACCAGAGGATTCCACCAAAATGAAGGGTATATATATATATATATAGAGAGAGAGAGATAGATAGAACTTTTTATTTAGTATACATGCACACACACACATACATACACGTTTAGGTGTCTTGTCATAAGCATCCTACTCTTCAGATTGCAGGTTTTGATGTTCTGAAGGTCCCACCAGACGCTGACGTCTTTTCCCTCACATGGTTGAGTGCCTACTCGTCGTCCCGAACCACGTCTGTTCGAAAGCCAGGTCGATCGGTTTGTCGTATGTATGTATGTATGTATGTATGTACGTATGTATATATATATATTTATTTGCAGGTATGTATGTATATGTATAGATACATACATATGTACATACAGATACAACAAATGATTGAATAAACGAACTATCTACCTGTCTGTCTGTCTATCTATTTATCTATCTGTCTGTCTATCTATCTGTTTCTTTATTTGTCTATTTATCTATCTACCTATCTATCTATCTATCTGTCTATCTGTCTATCTGTCTATCTGTCTATCTGTCTGTCTATCTATCTATCTATCTATCTATCTACCTTTCATACACTGGAACAGATAAACAAGTAGATACCTTACATATACATATATACACACGTACATACTTACATACACACATACGCACATACATACATACATACATACATACATACATGCATGCATGCATGCATGCATGCATGCATGGATGCATACCCTGACAGGTTAATAGATAAACAAGTTGCATGCATGTTTGCATATAAACAAATGAATACATAAAAATCTCTCTCTCTCTCTATATATATATATATACACATGTATATATATATATATGTATATGTATAGATGTATATATGCACGTATATGTGCATACGCAAGCAAACAAATACACGCACATATGTATACATACATATCTATCTATCTATCTATCTATCTATCTATCTTGGAGACTGGCAGCCCTCAGAGTCGACTCCAGCTTAGCCTGCCAAATCAATATACACGCCTCGCATCGCCCGAACTCACCGAGCTGTCCACATCTCGAACGCAGCCTCCCGGGCCTAAACCCAAAACCCTAAACGCCCCCAAGAACCTAAACCCTAAAAACCCTAAAAACCCTAAAAACCCTAAACCCTAAAACTCTAAACCCTCAGCCCTAAACCAGGTGAGAGCTGGCCACATATGTCGCCGCACATGTCCCCCAGCTGGCCAAAGGCCTCACCCTCCGGTGCCGGCAACCGGGCAGCAAGGTTTCGGGGCGTTTAGGGCTTTAGGGGTCTAGGTTTTTAGGGTTTTGGTATAGGGTTTTAGGGTTTAGGGGTTTAGGGTTTTCGGGTTTGGGGTTTAGGGTTTGGGGGGACATGAAAGCTTCGCTTGGTTTTCACGTCATAGCAACCGGCCCTTCTCATGCTCTGCGCTGTTCAAGCGGGTGGGCATGCTGTGTGTAGCATCTTCCATTTGACCTTGAAGTTGGAATACAGGCATCAGTTTGGTTGAACTCGTCAAGTCTTTCTGACGTGCATCGGGGTTGAGCTGATTGTGAAGTTTCGTATGTGCACGAAGAACATGTTTCATCTGAGGCAAAGGTGCTGCTAGCGATGCTCATCATCGGGCACATTGACAAGGATTGCGTTTGATAAGTTGCACGGATCTGCGTGATGCCCATGCGTGTGTGCTTTTGCTCTCACTCTCTCTGTACATGTCCGTGTGGAGCTGGCTTCCTCCAATTAATCTTAACTCCTGGATGGGAAAGCGATCTTTTCCCCAGACTGCAGGTCTTGAAGGGCCAGGGTGGAGAGTGGAAAGCGGCCACGAGAGACAGCGAGAGTCGGCCAGGAGGATGCCGAAATCCTCGTGAAGCAGCTGTGCATCGCTCCGTTGGAGAAAGGATCGTGAAAAGATTCCAAGAGTGCTCCGAGTAGGAGGCTTAGCCGATTGAAATTTAAACCTCCGGATAGAGAAAACTGAAACTGTTGTCGGGATCCTTCAGTCTCTCAGTGTCCTCTCTCAGAACTGTTCAGGTACTGCCACTCTCCTGGAGATTTCATAGGTGTTGTGCAAATGGTACGGCCGAGCTTTTAGGCACCAGCGCATCGTGGCTGCCTGCGCTCCGATCCCGAAGCCCCGACTAACGACACGACTACAAGAGTCGCAACAGTTTAGGGTTTTGGATATTATATAACAAAACATGTAGTATAGTATAGTATCGTATAGTATAATATCGTATAGTCTAGTAGAGTAGAGCATAGTCAAGTATAGCATAGCATAGTATAGTGTCGTATAAATGGGACAAGGAGGTCGCAATCTGCAGATCTCCTGCTTTTCAGTTCAGATCTGCTTCAAACCAAAGGCGCTTTGCTTTCTTGTGCCGGTCAAGCACGTTGCTAGTTGTGTGGCGTCAGCAGAAGGTAGTCCCTGTGACGCAGGGACAAACGTTATGGACTTAGTGCAGCCTGATCGTCGAAAGCTGGCCATGTGCTATGTTGCAGTCAACCTTGGGTAGGCAGGTGGTAGGACTGCCTCGTGATTGGAAATAATTACCCGGGGTAGCTTGGAGCCCATGGCCGCTGGAAAACCTGCATGGCTGTTCAGGGGTTTTAAAGCTCAGACCTCTGAGAAAGATGGCAATACCTGCCATCCTCCACCAAACGGCTCCGCGCGACCAGGGACGCTGGGATCCGCGCTGGGGGAGGTGCTACGAGAGTTGGGGCCGAGTGTGCAGCGGGGTTCGGCGCATACTCTGGGACGACGAGGGCTTGCGGGCACTGGTTCAGGAGGCCTTCCCGGAGCACCTCCCGACCTACGATTCATACGAGCACCAGATTCAGCGAGTAGACTTTGCGCGGGCAGCAATGCTCTTTGTCCACGGTGGCCTTTACGCGGACATGGATGTCGAGGCTCTCGACAACCCCTTTCCGCACCTTCCAGCGGGTGTAAGCATCGTGGCAAGCCCGTATGCCGCTCGGTGACCTAGCAAGCTTTCATCAGCACGCTGAGGGTTGCAGGACTGCAGGGTCGGTATGTTCCTGAGCCTCCCTGAATGGGCCATATTGTGAGCCCCAGCTATGCCTTGCCTGCAGAGGTTGAGAACGAGAAGCATCAGAATTCCCTTATGGCCTCACCAGCAGGGCATCCATTCTGGCGGGCATTGGCTGCAGAGGCACAGTCATGTTCCCATGTTGTGGGGTTGTGATGTTTCCAGGATTGCCGTGTCCAGCGTCGTGTGTGCATTTCTGCGGTGTTGGCATATACAGCAGCCAGTGGAGAGGTGCAACCTCTTCCCCCTTGAGCAGCCCTGCTTTCCTCTCGATCCTGAAGCCCAAGGCAGTGCGGCGCCGCACTGCCCCGGAGCTGTACCGGACGACCTGGCAGCTCACCGGACCTCAACTCTTAGATGCCGTGGCCGCTCGGATTAACATCGGGCCCGCCTTGCATTGAGGGTGCTGAAGAAGCTGATTTGCAGACTTGGGCTCCAGGTCGAAAGGTATGGGAGCGATGTGCACGCCAGCGACTGAGGAGCTTCAACATGGCCCACAAACCTCACGTCAGGGAACACTCTCAGCATAGCTAGTCAGCTAGTCCAGGCTCAGAGGAGCTGAAACGTCCTCTTCAGGTCCTGCCCGCAGACGTGTTCAATCCCTCCATGAGCTCGCCTTCTTTCCATGTCCCTTGGGCCTTGGGTGGCTTTTTTTGAGCCTATATTATAGTATATTATAGTATGTTATAGTATATTATAGTATATTGTAGTATATTATAGTACATTATAGTATATCATAGTCTATTATAGTATATTAGCTGTGTAAAGGGACTCCAAGAGCGGCCCAGGCACCTCAAGTCATCACCCGGCATCTCTGCACCAGCGTTTGGACCCACGACATGGATAACCTTGGGATGGCCTTGTACCAGGCAGGCCCGCGATGTGCCACACATGCAACAACATACTACAAGATACTATACTACACTATACTATACTATACTATACTATACTATAATATACTAAAATATTCTATACGTTTACCACAATATACTATAGTATATTACAATAAACTATAGTATACTATAATATACTATAATATACTATGATATACTATAATATACTATAATATACGACAATATGCTACAGCAAACTGCGACATACTATAACATACTGTAAGATATTATAACATACTAGAACATATCATAATACACAGCAATATACTACAACATCCTATGCCCAGCCGAGCCCCGAAATCTCATTCCAGGCAGCTCGTGCGAGCAATGCCGCAGCCGCGCGGAGCCTGGCTGGGCTTCGGGATACTGTTTAGTGTTTAGGGTTTAGTGTTTAGGGTTGCGTGTTCTGGGCAGCTCTCAAAAGTCCTCAGCAAAGAGATAGACCCAAACATGGCCATGGGCTTTCTATGCTAGGTCATACCCGAAGCCATGCGTTGCAAAATTCATACGCTTCACTACAGAGACCCGTAGAACACGGCAAGCCCTTACGTTTAGCTCTTCGGAGGACAGGTCGAAAGGTCATAGTCAAGAATACTTTTGTCATGGATCATATATACTTTAAAGATAGAGCAAAATTCGAAGTAGACTAGTTGGAATCGGCGAAGCTGCAGTGTACTGACATCTTTTGCAGGCTGACAGACGGAATGTTCCTCGGAACAAAACGGAAGGCCAGCAGCCGAACCCTAAGCCCCAAACCCCAAACCCGAAACCCGAAACGCAAAGCCTAAACCCCCTCTCGTGGCCTGCAGGCTCAGAGGGCAGCAGACGCCAAGGCAGACCTCGACTGCCGCGGGGGACCTATGACAGGATGGTTCACGAGACACGGAGAAGCAAATTCGTAATCTCGGTTGTCTACCTTATGTGTTGCTTACTTGTTTTACTTGTTCTGTGGGAGATGGGGGAGCATTATTTGGCGTTGATAAGAGGACCTGCCGGTATTGGATCCAATACCCGGGTATTGGATCTAATACCGGCCTGGATCGAAGATCGAAGATTGAAGATGCATGGACCACAAGGGTCCGTATTCAAACGGATTCAGGGCGTATTCAATTGAA